GGGAGCCCAAGCCTCTCCTTGGGGATTTGGAGTCTTTTAAATTATAGTCATGGCATTGACTAGAGCCCCATGGGAAGGATCCAATATTATATTTTCTAAAATGGAGGGATTATACAGCTAGACTGTTTGGAATATAGAGAAACCTAGGCAGAATATTGATTTTTATTGAGTTAACTCTTCCCCACAGGCTCAGGGAGAGAGGATGTCACACATTTTATCAGTATTTGAGAATACAGCATCTAAGTTTATCTTCAATCTGCCTATATCCTTAACTGATTTGTTAATAGAACTCATCATAGATGTAGGCTTCTGCGAGTGCTGAAATGCCTCCTGAATTATAATTGCTTACTTTGTCAAATTCACATGACACCTACAATATTCTATAGAAAGCTTGTCTCCCTAAATCCAACAGTTCTTGCTCCACACTTGTTGAAAGATATTTATAGGGTTATCAGTTGGAATTAAGTCCTATTTAATCGCTGAAGAAGTGATCCATAAAGTACCAGGTCTCGTGTTTTAATAAATGTTTTACGGGGGATAATTAGATTCTTGCTGGAGAAGCATAACTAGTATAGTGCTTAGAACTATACCATAACAAAAACACTGAATTGGCATCTATTCACTGTCTTTTTGGACAGTGTCATGTAACATATATCAACAGATGGAAGAACTGGCAAAACTTATATTGGCACCCCCACCAAATGAATGTACCCACCATTTGTAACACTGATAAGCAACTTAGTTGTGCTGTTACATCCTGGGCTGCTCTTGGGTGCTGTAGCTAAGGGCACTTTTTTCACCTGCATGTGGTGAGAATTGTTTTTGTTTGTTTTTTGCTTTTTATGTGTATCTTACCACAATTTTCCATGCCTTTGTCATTTCAAGACTGTAGATCAGTGGTTCTCAATCTGGGGTATGCAGAGGTCTTCCAACATCAACTCATCTAGATATTTGCCTAGTTTTACAGCAGGCTACATAGAAAGCACTAGCGAAGTCAGTACAAACTAACATTTCATACAGACAATGACTTATTTATACTGCTCTATATACTATACACTGAAATGTAAGTACAATATTTATATTCTAATTGACTGATTTTATAATTATATGGTAAAAATGAGAAAGTCAGCAATTTTTCAGTAGGAGCATGCTGTGACACTTTTGTATTTTTATGTCTGATTTTGTAAGCAAGTAATTTTTAAGTGAGGTGAAACTCGGGGTACACAAGACAAATCAGCTGCCTGAAAGGGGTACAGTAGTCTGGAAAGGTTGAGAGCAACTGCTGTAGATTACTGTAAGGAACTCAATACCTTGAGACTACTGAGAAACTTAAACTAGTGCAGTATGCAGCTATCTGCTCACTAAACTTTCATGTTGGGAGCACATTATACCACCGTTTTAGTACCTGCAATGGGTTTCAGTAAGTTTCTGGGTGCAATTCAAGATGTTGGTGTTAACCTATAGAAGACTCAAAGGATTTGTATGACCTGGTTATGTGGGGGATTTGGAGGGGTGCTGCTCTAACTTGTGGCAGCTGGCCCTTCCTTCTGGTCTATGAAAAGGTTCTGCTGCTGAAGAGAATATAATCATCCTCCAGAAACCCCGAATAAAAATGATTTTTGTTTTGTTTTATCATGATTTGATGCACTATCCTTCACTAAACTTTTGGAAGAAGATTCAGTCCTTCAGCAATTTGCTATTGATCAAATCAGCCTGTAGAGGGCCTCCTTGCACTGAGAGCTTTTGTTATTACAAAATCCTGTTAAAATGATAGGTGCAAAAGGAGGAGAGGGGAATACTATCCATGCTTTGGTTATTTTACAAAATCCTTGGATGTCAATGGCCATCATTTGTGAAAATTAAGATTAAATACTTTAAAAACATATATAGTAGTTTTAAAGCAGGTGAACATTAACATTATGATGAACTATAATGCTGCATTTAGTTTATTCACCTTTATTCTGAAAGCATCTTCAAGCAAAAATGTAAAACCATGGAAAATTCAGAGTAAGAGTACATCTATTAGTTTCTGCTTTTAAAAACCAAATATACTTGTATGGGTAATTCCGAGATGTAATAGATACTATACTGAATATATTCTGACAAATTTAAAAGACATTCAGTCAAAATAACAGAAATAAGGCAGGAAATAAACATTGGAACTACCATACTGGATTAGAGCAGTGGTCTTTCTATTCCAGGATCAAATGCTCCACAAATGATGAAAGAAACACCACAGTAGACACTGATGGGATAATCTTTCCCCAGAGAAAGTTTCCTCCTAGTCTCCTATAAATTACAGGTTGGTTTCCAGCCTGAAGTAAAACTCTTTTGAAAAAATTACTATTATAAATCCAGATATCAATATACATATTCCGCACATAAAGACAAATGAATACGTCTTTCTTTTTTGCTCAGAGTATTTGCACCAGCTGATACACAACATGCCATTCTTGTAAAGCTCATGTCTTGAGGGACATCTGATTTGTCATTGCTTTCCATGACATTAAGAACTGAGTTTTGAAAGTATGTTTAATCATAATTATAAACCTGGATGGAAAATAGTATTTTCCAAGAATATTTTTTACCATATTTAAAAAAAAATTATATATGGAAACAATTCAGGGTTTTTTTTTACAACAAACAACCCCACCCTTTTCCCCAAAGGTCAGTTTCTAGCTCTTGAAAACCAAACTGTCTGGCTTTCCGCTTTTCATAAAAAAAAAAACACACACACAACAAAACAAAAAAAATTAGGGAAAAAAGTATTCTGTGAAAAACTGGTTTAAAAAGTCTGTTTTTCATTTAAAAACATTTTTGAATAGAAATTTTTGACCAGCTGTATTTAGTTTATGTCTGTTAGTTAAGCTATGGTTTCTATGTAAATTGCAGCATTACTTTGATATTTTCAAATAGCATCTATTACATTATGTCATTTGTCCAAGTGCAAGATAGAGCCTGATCGCTCCTATGTGGTATTTGTCCCAGATTCACCAATGCATCTGTGTGCCAAAGCAAAGCAAACCCTGTAATGCTTGTACTCACAGCACAAGTCACTAGCTTGTGTAGTTAGAAGGCTGCTATAGCAAGCTGGCACTTTGCCTTTGTTGGGTTCAGGGAAAGGATCACTGGAGCACACTGCTCTGCTGAAGGCCCATGTGCCACTGGCACTGCCCAACTGCACACACATGTCGTTTGGTTCACATTTCTCCAATACTAAACCTAAATTTACTGTACTGTCAATGTGCATTTAGAAACTTCATTATTGCAAGGAGTCATGATTTTTCAGAATTGCCTATTTTAATTATTATATTTATCTTATTAACAAGGGACTTTTAAGTATTACTGCAATGCAAATGATAATAATTTGATAATATATAGCATCATACACACACACCACACTTCCCAGGTGCATGAGACAAAATGCCTGTCCCAAATTCCTTATGACCTAAGGCACGAATAATGCAGTGGGGTATGGGCCTGTGCAGAACCCCTCTGACTTTAAAGTGGCTAGGCACTGTAGGAGGTAGCAGTGGTCTTGTCACGCAAATCAGCTTGCAGGGTACAGGTTGAGTAAAGTCACATGCATACAGAGTAGGTGTTAGTTGGTAAAGCAAAGGGGTGCAGGTATCAGAGGACTGATTATTTCAAATATCTGTAAACTGTATCATTCTTTGTTTGGGTGACCAGATGTCCCGATTTTAGGGTCTTTTTCTTATATAGGCTCCTATTACCCCCCACCCCGTCCTGATTTTTCACATTTGCTGTCTGGTCACCCTATTCTTTGTCCTTAACCCGCAGAACAAAGTCCTCTTGAAGGAAGGGCTAGGTAAGGCACGTGCTACTGTACTTTGCTAAAAAAGGGGTTACAGGAACAAAGTGGTGGGGAAACTTTAGTGTCAGATGAAACTATATGCACTGTTGGTAAATACGATTTGGGTAAGGCTGAGCCACAAGCCAGGAGGCAGGCCGGGCTGCAGCAGCTTCCATGTGCACAGGACCTTTCACCAACCCCAGCCACCTCGCCCAGAGCCCACTCACTCACTGCAAGCCCTGGGAGCCAGAGGAACTGGGAGCCTTGCAGAAGGGCACGTGAGAAAGACACAAAGTTAAATGGTGTGTCCTAGAGAACACACACTGAATGAACACTGGGTAGTGTGTGCCCCAACACTGACCCCAGGAGCGTACTGCCACATGCTAAGAAAGGGCAGCTCCCTCCACCACACACCTCCCTGTACAGAGATCATTAAGCCTTGTTTCCAACACGCCTGCTGAGGGGTGCTGGAACAATTTGTATAGTGGGGCTGCTGAGAGCCACTGAACCAAACTTTAAAACTTGTATATGATGGAAACCACTTCAAGACACGGGGTACGGCAGTTCCATCATCTATGTGCCTGCTCCATTACCCCCTGTACTCATCCACACCCTGTGTTCCCTGCACACTCCACCCACTCCATTACCCCCTGTAGTGATCCCACCATGTCCCCCGCACACTCCATCCCGCTCCATTACCCCCTGTACTCACCCCAGCTCTGTGTCCTCAATACACCCCACATGCTCCATTACCCCCTGTACTCACCCTGCCCCGTGTCCCACACTCCCCACCCGCTCCATTAGCCCTATACTCACCCTGCCCACACACCCCACCTGTTCCATTACCCCCTGTACTCACCCTGCCCCCCACACGCCACCTGCTCCATTACCTCATGTACTCACCCTGCCCCATGTCCCACACTCCCCACCTGCTCCATTAGCTCCTGCACTCCCCCTGTCCCCCTCACCCCACAACGCCCCATTACCTTTATACTCCCCCCAGCACTCAATACACCCGCCCCATTAGCCCCTGTACTCACCCCTCCCAGGTGTCTCCCTGCCACTTATCCCCCCATCTAACGCCTCTCTGGACACCCCGCCTCCCCAGTTCCTCCCATCCCCTCCTGCGCCTCCTACACCCGCTCCCCGCCGGCACCCCCTCCCCGTTCCTTCCCCCCTTTTCCCCTCGCCTCCCTGCCGAGCACCGGGAAGTGCGGGCGAGCAAGGGAAGGACTCGGCGGGCTTCTCCGGCCCCCTCTGGGGGAGCCGCGCTGCCAGCCCGGCCTCGCCTCCCTGCTCCAGGCGCCTCCTAGCGGGGCTCAGCAGCAGCGCTGGGTGCCGGTGCCTTTCCCAGGCACGTCCCCCCTCAGCCGCGCTCAGCCCGACTCCCAGCCCCGCTCGCTGCTGCCAGCGGGCGAACCCACCCCCCGCGGCCAGCCAGAGCCTGCTGCCCAGAGCCAGTCGGCGCGGAGACACGCGGCGTGTGCGCGCGGGACCGGGCGAGGGGAAGGCAGCGCGAGGGAGCGCCCGGCGCCTTTCGGAGCAGCAGCAGCAGCAGCATGGCCGGTCCGAGCGCCCTCTGCTCCGCGCTCGGGCTCTGCAGCATCCTGAGCCTCTGGGCTCTGCCGGCGCGGGCTGCGCAGCGGCAAGAGGACACTCTCTACATGTGGATTGATGCTCATCAAGCCAGAGTCCTGATAGGTAAGTTGGGGCTCTACCCCCCTCGCATTAGCACCGGCTCTTTGCTCCAGTCAGTGTCTCCCTGGAGGCGCTTCAGCAACGTGTTTTCCAGCCCCATGAAATCGCCCTGCCTAGAGGCTTCAGTGAGTTACTTCTCCAAGCAGTTTGTTAACCTGCACTAGTGGGGCTCCTGCTGAAAGGCGTAGCCCTCCATAAAGACTAACCGATGCACTTGAGCTCTGTGTTTTAGCCGTGAAAACCGAAGTGCCAGTGGAAACTTTAGGTGGTTCAAACATTGTTGTTGTTTGTAGCATAGGAATGGGAAAGTTTATCCCAGTGGTTAGGCTTCCCAAGAACTAGGTGATAGCGATGATAAACATTCTCTACAGTAAAATGTTCATCATACATGAGAATCCTGCTTCATTTCCCTCTTTCTAGTCTGTATATTTTTGTTTTACAGGCTTTGAAGAGGATATTCTGATTGTTTCAGAGGGGAAAATGGCCCCATTCACTCATGATTTCAGAAAAGCCCAGCAGAGGATGCCAGCTATTCCAGTCAATATCCACTCTATGAATTTTACCTGGCATGCAACAGGAAGGGTAGGTACAGATTGAGATTGGAAGAAGAAAAAAAGTCCTCTTTAAATATGTTCAGCAGAGGCAAATATTTAGTTTTTAGAATATTTTAGGAAACTATTTCTGATATGTGCCAAAAAGACACTAAAGAATGAGCCCTTGATCTAGAATCACCTGTTATAGGAAGTATTTATCTAGCATGGAAAATGTATAATGCTTTAAAAAAAGTCAGAATGAAACACTGTCTCTAACCCAACGAGTTTATAATTTAATTCAGACAACACAAAATATGTGGTAACATGGCAGGCTGTGGACACATTATTGATGTGGAAATTATTATAAGGAAAATTCTTGGAAGAAGTAAATTTTAAAATGGGATTTTAAGAAGGAGGGTATGCTTTCTTTGCTGATAAACTAAGGATAAAAGAACCAACAAGATTAGACAACACAGGCTCATGAGGAAGACATTAGCTAGCCTTAAATGAAATTTTACAGGTCAACAGTCCATAATGTGGATACAATTTTGTTATTTTATTTTTTTAAAAAGCATAAGGTTTTAGCATATGGAGCTCTACTATGACTCATTTATTAAATACACACACGCTGTTTCAATATGCATAGTTGTGTTAAAATAGGAGCTGTATTGCCTAGATCTATTTCTAAAAAGTATAATGGCAAAACTATGCAACTTTGCAATCTATTGAGCCCACAATTCTCTATTTAACTTTTTTTACTGAAAAGATAAAGTATGGCATACTTTTATGCATAATTTGACAGACTGATAAATATGTTAAATTTGCATAACACTGCATCATGTTGGTCTAAAGTTATCATGGATACGGAGACATATTCAGCTTAACAGAAAAGAATTCTAAATAAAACAACTTTTTAAAAAAAAACAGTCTATGCATTTTATACAAGAGAATGTTCAATAAAAAAAAGCATGTACTTTTCAAAATATTCAGTGAATATTTTGGTTATAGTTTGGTCAACTTTATAACTATGCGAGTTTTCAATTGTTTAGAAACATTTTTTTTCAAAGTGGTCATTTATGATTCAGGAAATCTCTTACAGCAACTGTCATACCCTTCTATCTATGTTAGGTACTTAGTATCTGAATGCTTTGCACTCTTTAATATATTCATCATCACAAGACCCCTCTGAGGTAGGGAAGTGCTATCATCCCCATTTTACAGATGAGGACTGAGGCACAGAGAAGCAAAGTGACTTGTATGGGGACTGAGGTCACAGGAGTTCTATTTGTATTTATAGTTATAGAGAAAACAAAAATTATACCAGAGTGCTATTTAAGTAACTAGCCGTAGTTAACATGTCCCAGGACAGGCATGATTGTACTGCTGTCCATGAGGAAAAAAAATCTTACTGGGTAGTGGGATTGAGACATCAGAGAGAACCCAATTCCTTTTCCCTATCCTCTTTTTTTCTTTTCTGCTCTAAGTCCCCTCTTCTGCAACCCAGTGAACAGTTTGTTGGAAAGCTGTGATTGTAACATTTGAAATGCATGACACTGCTCACACGCTTAAAGTTAAGCATGTGTTTAACATCTCTACTGGATTGGGATCAGTGTATTCAGCACCTTGCAGGATGAAATCCCATTTGAACTGTGACAAAGCTGTTCAACAAATCATTCTTCTTTCTCTTTAATTTATTTACTGAAATCATATTAGTTAAAACTGCCTTGACATCCTTAAATATTTTAAAATTTAAAAAGTAATTCATCTACAGTTTCAATGGCTGTACATCTACACAAATGCTATTTGAATATCTCCCATGTCAAAATCAGATCAGAACTATCGAAGGAGTTTAATTTCTACAGAAACCGATTGGAATAATTTATTATTACATACTTCAGGTAAAAAAGTTAAGATGAAGTGAAGGATTTAGTTAAGCATAAGACATAGCAATTATTTAAGGAGAAAAATGTTGATTTTTAAAAACACAAACCTTAATTCTGGAATTTTTAAGGTAAGGTAAAACAAAAATGATTGGAAAAAATAATATATGGAGATAAAGTACTATAAACAACCTTAACTGTCTCACTCCTCCTGTTTCTAAAGTAGTGTTAGCTTTCAGTCAAATAAATGCTAAAAATAACATAGGCTATTCATTTGGTGGAAAATATATAATCCTGTTTAGTTAGCACTTACTGCCCCTATCCACCTCCATCCTGTGCATACAGAGTTTGTTCCAATGGCTGTGGATACTTAAACATGATGTATCAGTGCAGATTAGGTAAGGAGTTCTAACTCACAGCCCAGACGGGGTGACTATGGTGACTTTAAGCCAGCCTCATGTCTTTCCAATCCTGGGCTGTTCCAGGGACTGGCAAGGCAGCCTCTCTGGGTTGCCTTCTGGGCTGCAGTGCTCCCTGAAATCTCCACAGTAGTGTGTGCTGTGGCCCACCCCCAACATGCCCTTCCTGTCCCAGTAGGTTCTCTGAGGCCAGCCTTACATCTGTCTTCCACAGTTTCTGTGCCAAGGATATCTTCCCCTGGTGGGAACCAGGGCTTTTTGACAGTGTCTATATATTGTTCCTGCCCTTTTTCCTGGTGTAAAGGGGTTGGAGCCAGTATAAGGGTCTTGCCCTAGATCTTGACAGTCCATAGTCAAAACTACAAAATTAATTAGCACTGTACTGCATCTAGCACACTGGGGTCCTGGTCCATGACTAGGGTTCCTACGCGCTATGGTAAAACCAATAAATAAGAATGATAATTTTGAAATAACATGCATATGCACCTAATTTAACTTAGTGGCAGTGCTAAAAGGACAGAATTAAGGTTGTTTGTGGCTTCAGAACTCCACTTTTCCAATATTTCCAACATTTGAAAAAAGTTTTTACTTTAAATTCACATTTTCAAATGTTTTCTTTTTATTTTAAATGTAATGGCTTTTACAAATATCTGTTGCACACTCCAGGTAAGTACTATGTGTTTGAAACCTTTACTCAGCCTTAGTTTTTGTCTGAGAATTTCCTTAGCTTTTCTTTGCAGTTGGACATTTTTGTTGTTTCTACATGGGGGAAAAAATCTTTGATGTAGGAACTGTTAAAGCCATTTTCATTAGTAAATGAAAAATGTTTGTTTATTTTAATTCTTGAGCAACTCATTGCGGATAAGGGACTTCAAAATTATGGCAAATTTTGTGGGGAGGATAACTAAATTAAGAGTCGATACTTCAAGGTTGTGAGCACTCTCAATACCCAGTGAGGTCAAGAGGAGCCACGCATACTAAGCTGCTCAGTCCACCTTATTTATTGGGACCTTATTTATTAAAATTCCACCCAGTATTACCTATGCTGTGTAAACTTTGTAACAGCTGTAGTTTTATGTTTAGAAAAATTGTACTTCAGAATGTTGTACAGATGTTCTGTGTTTAAAAAAAAATGTTCCCACAGGATAATATTGTACATTGCATACATCTGTGTAACCACTAGAAGTCACTGGTGTTGCTTCATTTTTATATCCTGCAAAAGGTATAAGTGATTTGTGGGTCTATTCTGTTCTCTTCTTGATGCTGGGGGATGTGTGTGCAGAGCCTTCCTAATTTGGAGAAAAATAGTCCCTAGTGTGCTAACTTATGCTGCAACATGCTTTACTTTGCCCACTGGAGGGTAGTCCTACAGCATGCAGTTGGTAATAGCACTTCAGCAGTATTTAGCAATATCTGAGGGGGATATAGGCGCCAAACCTTCAAACACATATGCATATGCTTAACTTTACTAATGGGAGTAGTCCCCCTGATTTCAGTGGGACTGCTTTGGTAGTAAAATTAAGCATAGATATGAGTGTTTGCAGATCAGAATCAACATAAAGCAAAGGCTTTGTCAGTGAATAGGAGGTAAGTACTGGAGCATAAAGACAAAATAAGCATCTGATTAATTCAGTGGGCAGAAGAAAAGTCAAGATCAAAACCAAGTCGGGTTTTTTTGCTCCAACAGTTACTGGTAACTGAATAATGCAGAAGCGGTGTCCAGTCTGTATGGTGAGATGGGGAGCATGTGTCACTCTATGATGTTTTTCAGCATACCTTCTGTTTTGCAAAAGGAGGCTTAGGAAAGGAGATAAAATTACAGCTCAGAGAGGCTGATTCTGATCTCATCCACATGGGGGTAAATCCAAAATAACCCACTTCATTGGAATTACTTTATATTTTTACTTATGTGACTGAGATCAGAATCTGGCTCAGAATGAAGGAATAAGAAAACATCTGACTATGTTAAAAGATTTATGTGCTTCCTTCCTCCCTCCCTCAGGAAGGTGAATAGACTACTTGTTATATACCATTATTGGCATAATGGGAGAAACATTTAAATATTACAACACCACTGATAAAATAAAGGGAAAACAAAAGATGGTGGATTTCAGTTCAAATAATATTTCAGTGGAATCGCTGAACATAAATAAACACCTCATTTGTACATAGCAATTACAGCAGCAATTTTTATTATTTCTAAAATTGTCTAATGTGTACAGGCCACATTTTTTCTAATGGAATTATGACTGTTTTGGAAGTTATGATAAACGCGGTTGCATAACTTTGGACTCTTGGGATTTACAGTAGTACCTTCACTGTGGTTTCATGTCAGCAAACAGAGGAAATACCTTGTTTTCTGACCTCTGTACCACAATTTCAATGTGAAATGTGAATATGTTTACATACAGTGGGCATGATTTTTAAAAAGGGGGTTCTTGTATCAAAAGCATAGCTCCAAACCTTTAATATTTAGATTCTATTCTGCTGTGGTATTTTGCATCTTGGTGTTGTAGACATGCCACCAGGGATCAAAGAGTAATGCTATAGAGATCCCACTTCATTTAGTAAAGCAGGCATGTGCCAGCCATCTGTTCTATCTGCTGATAGAAAACAGCAGTAAGGTTCTCAAAGTTTTGCCAAAAAAAAAAAAAAGCTTTATTGCTCAGTAGAAATGACTTACAAGGCACCTTATAAGCTACATCTGGTTTCCATAGTAATTTACATGGCATATATGTAAACTACACAAT